TTGTGCAAATAAAGTTTTGTAAAAATCAAAAATCTTTCTTTCTTTCTTTCGTTCTTTCTTTCGTTCTTTCGTTCTTTCGTCCGTCCGTCCGTCCGTCCATCCGTCCGTCCATCCTCCTTACCAGCTTCTTCCTTTTCAGGTCGTGGGGGTCACTGGTGCCCATGTCCAGCAGTCACTGTGCGAGAGGTGGGGGACACCCTGGACAGATCGCAAGTCCATCACAGATGTTTTATTCATTTAATTGCTGTCATTATTATTATTATTATTAATTATTAATTAATTAATTATCCATCCATTATCTTTACCTACTTTTTCTCTTTTCGGGTCTTTATTAATTAATTAATTTAGTCCAAAACTACTTTGGAGATTATCTGAAACTGTTCCTAATTGGTCATTTTGGATACATAAAATAAAGTTATGACTAGTAACAGTGGGATTATAGATATCTGAAATGAACGTGTCTCATTTAAATCTGCTAGATTTCCTGTTTGTGAAGCACTTTGTTCAACCTTGTTGTTCTTAAACGTGTAAGTACAGTTCACTCTGAGATTCTGTATGTGACAGAAGTTAAAGAGATCCCTCACTTCCAGTTTTGAAGAGAACATTTTGAACTAAAATATGACCAAGGCAAACTGCTTGTTGTTATACAGGTATATGTTATACACTAATGGGTAAACATTTATTAGAAGTTTAGATTATTATAACGTTAGTGGCTGTGGCTGCATTGGCTTCCTTCACTTGTTCCTCTCATAGGTTGCTCATGTTCTTCTATCCCAGATTGTTTAGCAGCTACAAGTGTGACACTATGCCAAGCTTAGTCATCACAACTTGTGGAGATCACACTCTTGCCAGACGATACGATGGATGCACCACCTCGTATCATTTTAGTTCAAGACGCTCCACAGAATGGCTCACAGCAGAGGTGCTTGAGTTCTGATTGCTCCAAGTTCAAGAGGTGTGTGTCCTCAGAGACCCTCGAGATGCTCAGCAGTGCTCTCCAGGGTATGCAAGCACCACGTCTGTCAGCTCCACCTTCTAATAAGCTCTTTAAATATCACTGAATCAGAGACCTGCTGAGCGTTCATTCATTTTTCTCTTCCCAGGAGGCCTCCGCTGCTCCTCAACACTGTTCCTCATTCATCTCTGTGGTTATTGGAGTGGGTGGATGGGTTTTAAAACAGGAGGAATTTATGAATCATTGTCCCAGTTTATTTTTGTAAAAATAAAAAAATAAAATCTCACACGATTTGTTTGCATCAGCAGCACACTGGAGGATCTTACAGGTGGGTGGACTCCACTAAACAAGAGTGAGTCATGGTGTAGGTGTTTGGATTTTTATCTTTTTTCACTTCTGAAAACCAGAGATGATCGTCAGACAGAACCAGAAACTTTTCACCACTGTAATATAATTTACTTTGGGTCAATTGGAACTTGCTACCTTCTTGTTCCTGAAAACAATGCATTTATGGAAACAAATTCCTGGAGACATTTGACACTTAATTTCTGGATCTGCTTTGTTCTGTTGGGGGCTGTGGGGGCTGGAGAGTATCCCAGCAGACCACATGGGTGAGGATTACCCAACAGTCACTAGTGCTAACCAGCACGCCCCTCTGCAGCTTGAAACAAACACATTTTCTTTAATAAATCTAAATTTAATTAATTCCTGTAATATTTTAAACTCGACCTTTATGCACTTCACCTACTGGCCGGACAGTTATGTTGCTGGAATTCATCATGGAGATGAGAATGAGAAGTGGATGCTGAAGGCATAGCAACACATCATAATTTAAAATATCTTCTACCATATATTCAGGTCACAGAAGCAACAGGTCCAGAAAAACAGAAATCCAACTCCGACTGGGTGACCCAGACCAGAAATCACTCCAGTGAGTTGAGTCTGTTCCAGGGCCTCCTACCAGTGGGACATGCCCACAAAACCTCCAAAGAGTGGTGTCCAGGAGGCATCCCTATGACGTCACCTCAATCACCTCAACGGGAGGAGCAGCAGCTCTACTCCGAGCGCCCCCACCCCTTACGAAGGAAGCTCATTAGGGATGCTTGTATCTCTTTCTTGGGTCATAAGTCAAAGCTCATGACCACAGGTGGAACGTAGACAGACTAGTAAGTTAAGAATCTTACTAAGTTGTCCAGTCCTCTGGGCGGATAAAAAGAGTGGATCAACCGGTTTGTTGTTGACATTCAGAACTAGCTGTTCTCATGATAAAGGACGACTGTCAGTCTAACAGATAGTTAGCACACTGATGGCTGTTTACTATTCACAGGGGGCTGAGTGATACTAGCAATCACAGCATTGTAAGAGGGGGACAGTTGAACCCGGAGGCCTCCACCCGTTTAATGATGGACGGTTTCTCTTCACAAAGATGGCCTCCTTTACTCCTCTCTCAAACCATCGTTCCTCTCCATCAAGGATGTGAACGTCTTAATCCCTGAGTGACCTCTGGCCTGGAGAGGTTTGTAGACCGCTCTTTCATAATGAGGCAGTTTTATTGGTTTGTGAGGTTTTCACTTGATCAGAATAATTTGGACAGTTAAGTCTCACGAGATCTTGCTGCAGCCTTCATTGTGAGTATAAATTCATATAATTGATTAGTGTTACAGTTTAATAGCATTAAAAGAAAACAAGACTTTTCAGCAGCCAGTTTAAGCACTAAGTAAGGAAAATCAAACTTGTAAGACAGGTTAAATATAGTATGTGTGCCTTTTTGGAAACGTGTACATTTTCGTACTTTCAAATAACTTTTTTCCATCAACATCCTAATAAAGAAGAGCATATCTCATTTAACTGGTTTTCTGTTTTTGTTTGTTTTTTTTCTTTTGACTGCTGCTTAAGAGAAAAACCTGTTGTGAAGATATTTCTGGTCAGACACCACAACTTCTTAAATCAGAGCTAAAACCAACGGTGTTGGCCTGAATAGGTGCTCAGACCACATCCAGAGCTGAACCAAGAAATACACCATGGGCAGAACTACAGCACTGTGGAAAATAACTTTAATAAAACTCCTATGACAACAAACATCAGAAAAAACAATAAAAGCCTGTACAGCTGACAATATTCAGTGTCTGAGACTTCTGAAGGCTAGTGGTGAGAAACTCAGGCGCATGACACAAACCAGCAGACAGCACGATCGTTGACGAGCTCCGGCCCGGGTCCAAAATGTTCTACAATACAACGAGGGTCAGAAATGTGATATTGCACAAAAAATATCTAAAATCAGATGCAAATGCTAGGAGAGCATCTTATGTTGAAACGAGAAGAAGCTTTGCATTGCAATGTGACAAGCCCCGCCCACACGGATCACAGACCACACCCACATCTGCTTGTATAAAAACAAATATACACAATATTTGGACATTCAGTTAAAAAAACTGTTCATTTTGAGCACAATCTGAACAATAAAATAACTAAACATTAGTTGGTTTTTGGTCTTAAAGGCATCAGCTGCAGTGAGATTTCATTATAAGATAAGAATTATTATTTATTACAATCGTAGCTAAAAGTGTGGCTCTTTAAAAGTTGGTAGACGGGGCAGTCAGAGTAATGATTTCATTTCAGAATATTAAACCGCTTGAAATACAAAAGAAAAAAGTTTATATAATAAAAGTATTTGTGAAATATTCCTAAAAACATTCCAGTGTTCAAAGATCCAGCTGAAGTGGAACAGTGGACCAAATGGCTCAGAGCATCTTTAAGAACCGTTCTCTACACAAGTTCTCTGGAACAGTAGTCTGGCACATCCATGTCTGCTGTGTAATTCTTAAACCAAAAACCATAAAATTAATATTAATAAAACAAACTTAAACAATACAATCTTTGTGTATCTAACAAGGCTGAGTCAGGTCCTTTGGACGGGTTCTTTGTTGAAACGTTTCATCAGGCTGAAGAAGTCCTCTGGATAAAAGATGAAACATTTCAACAAGAAGAACCCGTCCAGAGGATGTGACTCCACCTGGTTAGATTCATCTACCTGGACGATTGAGCTCGAATCAGGACAATCTTTGTGCAGTTTTAAAGCACACTTTAAGACGGCGGGAGAAAGTTGCACTTCCTGTGATGATGGTGTTCATTATTTTAAGACAAGAGGGTCAAATTTCAGCAATTGGAGCTCCACTGCTTCTTTTTCCCCATCGCTGCCCTGCTTGATGTGTTTTCCATTGAAGCAAAGTTTTGAGTCCACCTGATAAAACTTCATCAATTGTTCCTCTAACGGCTGCTCCAGCCCTCACCATCTTCTCTGAAGGTTTAGTGTGGGTAAAGTGGTCCTCTCCAGTTCTCTTCCTCTGGCTGAAGGGCCCTGCATACTCCATCCTAAGCCGAACAGTCGACTCTCGGTCACCTGGTTGCAGGGCATTCATTTTCACACACAGTCCATGAGACACAGACACAGAGCTCCTGGGAAACCCCTCCTGCTGCAGTATACCTCACCACATGGGTTGCTTCCCGCCAGCGTCTCCACTCCGTCCCTGCGTCCACCGTTTGGCCACAAATCAATCATGAAGAAAGCACCAAGAGACAGACTCCTCCATACACGTCTGCACGATCTCCATCTAGGAGTTTTGGGCCATTTGACTAATTTAGTGGGTTTGAAGAGTCGAACAGCTGAATGTTCGAGCGCATTTCCACATTGACGAATACAGCCACAAACTTCTGACCAATGGTGCGTAGGCCTGGAGAAGGTTGGAAAAGGTTCGGCCCAGGTCTTGAGTCGAGAAGAGGAAAATCGTGTGGATTTTCGTCACACATCTACGTCAATGAGAGCCGATTGCAGCGCTTCGGGGAGAGTATGCAGGACCCTTCAGTGCCCCACCAGCTGCTGTGCCTGTGCAAAACTTGCAAACATCACCTACAGTGATTCCACAGAAATGTGTCAGACCATGAGTCTCGATGTCGGTGTGGCACCGTGCCATGGTGACACAGGTTGAGGAGGGGCACAGCTAAACAGTCTCAAACTGTTTCAGAGTGTTTATTCCTCAAATACAGCACATGGGGGGTGAATCTGTCTGCACGCCAGACTTCAGCTAAACTCCCTTCTTTAAGTTAGGGTCTCCATGGCACATCTGGCCCCCTATCTCTTGCTCCCCTCACGGCATCTCTTGGTCCCCGGCCTTTAAGGGCTTGTACTGGTTCTAGGAGCGGTTGTCTTTGGCCACATTGTGGGCCATCCAGTTCACCTTGGTCGTCCAGCTCTCTCTTAAGGCTTCGTCAAACTTCTGGCGGAATTGCTTCAGGGCCTCGTCATCTGTCTTCCCTAGAGCCAGAGAGTCCTGACGGGGGAGAGAGAGGAGGATAAAACAAATTCAGAACAAAAACACCACAATATACAGTCGGTATAAGAGTCTTACACCCCTGTTGAAGTGACGGTGACGTCATTCTGTTGTAATACATATGAATGCATTGTTGGGAAGACAACATTACCGTATTTTTTGGGTCGTGGTTTTTTGCACAATTTGCATGCCATGCGACTTATACACCGAAGTGACTTGTTTATGGATTTTTCCCATATTTATAAAACAATTTTTGGCTGAGATATGACCGTTTTCATTCATTCTGACTGAAAATATTGAACACTACCATTATCAGCCACTAGATGGCACTCGAGTTGTATGGCATGTCGTTGTGTCATGTAATAGGTAAAAGTGGCTATTAATGACACAATTGGCTTTCCATATGGGGGCCGAGATGGTGTAGAGGCAGGGCAGCCGGCTTGGGACCCGAAAGTCCCAGGTTCGATCCCCAGTCACTGCACATCACGTGGCGTCTCTGGGCAGCACGTCTCATCCCCAAAATGTCCCCCGGGCGCTTTCAATAGCTGCCCACTGCACCACCTGGTGGTGGATGGGTTAAATGCAAAGACTAATTTCGCCATTGTATGGAAACATACAGTGCTGACATTGTGATGACATTATTATTATTATTATTATAAACTGCCACATTTGTTCACCTTGCCTGGTGTAATCGTCAAATCAGCTTCATTTCACTGCGCCGCCCCGGCGAAATGCAGCTGATTTGACGATTAAAGTTCATTTATTAAGTAAAAGTTCAACTGAGACACACCTTTACTATAAAGTCGAGCAAACAAATAATTGTTTGTGTTAATCTTGTTAAATTCTTGTTAAAGTCCTCCCGTGTACACTTCCACTTCCGCCATTTGGCAGCCAATTGATTTTTGGCATAACACCAGCTCACATTTCCAGGTTGTCAGCGGTGACACATAATAGATGTGAGTTATACGACGAAGCGACGTATTTATGTTTTCCCACTTTATCAGACATATTTGGACTGATGCAACTTGTAGGGCGGGGTGATGTGTACGGCGGAAAATACAGTAATATACTGCAAAATAAGTACACTGCTGAGATGAACACTTGAGATGTTCTCATGAGAAGTAACAGGAAGTGATGTCAAAGGGGAACGCCTGCAGGTGAACAGAGCATCGTCTAACACAGACAGAAGAGAAGAATCTGATTATTTAGATTTTTTTAAATCACTATCAGAGAGATGACGAGCCAGAGTTCAAATATTGTTTTAGCAGACAAAAACCAAGAAGTTCCCCTTTGATGTCACTTCCTGTTTAACTTTGCACCAAGTTCAAAAGAAAAAATGCCAGTAATGTGAGTAAATGGGCAAAATCATGTGTGTTATGCCACATGTCTTACATATTAAGATGCTTTCTTTCACTTTTTGTATTTGTAGGATATACATGTCACAGGAACTTCAAAATAACAGATTTTTGTGATTTAAGCATGAGACACTGTAAAATAATTTCAAAACCGTTTCCACTTTTACTGTGACACATCCTCTAGAGTTCAGTTTTTAAAATAGATGTGGGGAAAATACAAAAACACAATGATCTGTCCACACCCTTCAATTAATACTCCGTTAAAGCTCACACACAAAAACAATGTTTAGTCCACATTTTGTCCTACTTTAGTCTAAATATAGTTGAAATGTTTTTCATGCCTTTTTAACCTAAACATATTTACTGGGGTTATCTAATAAAAATATTCTAATGTTACATTTATTTCACATCATTTGTCTTCATTCTATTTTTTCTCTCCATATTTCAGATTTATGTTCAGGCATTAACCAGCAGAGTGCTAAGCTGTTTAACATATTTGTAACTTTCAAAAAGCGCCAACGTTATTTATTTATGGCAGTAAAATCTGAAATCAATAAAAAGCAAAGGCTGCCCCACATACGGCCTGCTTGGCAACATTCTGGCCCTTGAGCAAATTTTCTTGATGACCCCTAACATTCAGACTTGGAGTACAAATTGAGTAGCTGAGCACAACAAAAACAGCTTTCAGGATGACGTCAGCGCTGTATTTGTGCAGTTCATTTATAAAACCCCAGCAGTAAAGGCGACGTGCTCTGATGAATGTGGTGCTCTTATTTGTGTTTTAAGGTCAAACTGCAGGGAGTGACAGAAAACTGTTATTATTCTGCCTTCAGCTGCTGCTCTGCTTCAACCTATGGTGCTGCATCATCAACAGACCACAGGCGCTCTGGATTACAGTAATGTCAATATGACGCTCAGACAGCAAAACTGAAAGTGTACGTACATTCAAACGTGCACGCTTTGCATGTTGCTCCAGTTAAAAACAAGCATCCTCAACAGCCATGGCTGCAGAACGTTAACAGAGCCAAATTACGGCTGCAGTCACATTCTGAGCTCCAATGTGTGCTGGCAGCGGCCAGAGAGACCTGCTGACCCATCTCTGCTGCTTCTGCTTCTAAAAGTGCTGCAGCCAGGGCTGGGGGTGCACGGACTCTTACCGTGATCACAACCAGCACCACACTTTTACAGAACACACCAGAAAGAAGCAGAAGAAAGCTCCATATGACAACATGACGAGAGTTAAAACAACCACCACTACCAAGCCTGTCCCTTTACTGCTCAGACTCATCTTTGCATGCTGAATTACACAGAATGCTGTACATACATACATGATGCATGCTAGAATGCTGATCTGGAAAAGCCAATTACCGTATTTTTCAGATTATAAGGCGCAATATCAACGAACGGGTCTGTTTTCATACATAAGACACACTAAGCGAAGCAAGTTCATTTTGACAGATGTTTGAGCGCCGTGCATCATAAAATTGATTCGAGGTCAGTAAGCACAACCAGAATTAACACATAAGGCGCACTGGATTATAAGGCTCACTGTCGATTTTTGAGAAAAGTAAAGGATTTTAAGTAGGGATGCACCGATCCACATTTTTTAAACTTCCGATCCCAATCCCTAAATCTGAATATCGGCCGATACGATCCAGTTCGGATATCATCATCATAACTGATTTTACATGAGGCTGTAATAATCTCCTCTCAAGTACAACTTGTACAAATATATGCATGCATGTCCAAAAAGGCAACGTCAGGTAAGTTTTAATTAATGTTGGATAAGTTTCAAAGTTAGAATTAAATTTCTGCTAACACAAAACATGTTTTTTTTTAAATTCCTAGCTTTAAAGTGGATATTAAAATGATTAATTTAAGTGTTTGTTTAAAGTTATTTAATATTTTTTTAAATAAGGGGCAGATCTAAGAATTTTTTTCTTCTTTCTGCACTCTTTTCATTCAATGTTTTGTTTTTGATAAATTTGTTTATTTTGTCTTTAAATGGATGAATAAATGAATTAAATAAAAAAAAAATTAAATGGCTTTAAACATCTGCCAAGTTCATGGCATAAACCAACACTGATATGTTTTTTAGTATTTTACATCGCTTTATAATGTAGCTGTTTTTGTTTTTTATATAATTTTCTTGTGATTTTCAATTCATGTGTTTTTTATGATTGTCTACTGTTGTACTGATAAATATCTCCTGGAGGGTAAACTATATCTTGGCTGCAAGTATCAAGCTGTGAAATCCTTTGTTTTCTACAACTGATAGTGGTTGGTCATTGATTATGATGAAGTTTAGCAGCTTCTCAGTAAACATTGGAGCTCCGGGGCTTCAGCGATGTCTTCTTGTTCAATCCGCAGCAAGCAGTCTGATTTCAGTCAGCCGCACTCAAGTCTACCCCTCCTCCAAGACGGGCAGATTGGACGGGGCAGATTGGACGCAGCTGGCTGGGGTCGAGTTGCCTGTTTCGAGTTCAGCGAGAGGAGCAGACCACTGAAGCCACGGAGCTCGAATGTCCAACATAAAACTAACTTTACCGCGGTTTAATGTGGCGCTATGGCTCTGCAGACATTGCACGATGCTGTCTTGTTTTGTTTCTAGTGTAAAATACTTCCACACAGCGGACATGTTTAGATGAAAAGTTGGTTAGCCGTTAGCCACAGTGCTGCTAACTCAGTCCTCACGTTGTAGCTGGCTGCAAACTATGAACTGGATTTCCTGAATGTGAGGCGGGTCTTATTACTCTGGGTTCATGAGACACGCCACCGTTCAGGAAATCCATTCCATAGTTTGAAGCCAACGTGCATCATGGATCAGAAATATCAGCAGGTTGGATCGGAAAAAATCTGATACGTAAATTATGCTGGTATTGGAGGCCGATACTGATACTGGATCGGATCGGCCCCATCCCTAATTTTAAGTGTGCCTTATAGTCCGAAAAATATGGTAGTAAAAGTTCTCTATCTAAAGAAGCAGCGGATTGCGTTGAATTTTCACTTTGTCGCAGTTTCCCATCCTGAGCAAGCACAGAGGCAACAGTGGAAAGGAAAAACTCCCTTTTAACAGGAAGAAACCTCCAGCAGAACCAGGCTCAGGATGAGCAGCCATCTGCTTCAACCAGCTGGGTTTGAGAGGAGGAAGGAGAAACAAACAAACACAGAATGACAGGTCCAGGTGTACTGTCTACAGGAGGAAAGACAAAATTTAATAAAATGTCTCCAGATTTCTACTGAAGAGTCTTTTCTGTTTCACCACTTTTTGAGGCAGCAGGGTACTGTTGTTTCTCCACAACAGTCAAATCAACATACAACGACTCGTGCGCATTTCCATGATGTGTTACCTTCAAGTACTGGATGTCTTTGACAGAGGTGAGCTCAGGTAGTCCAGCAGTCAGCATGAGGGCAAACAGAGTGATGAAGAGGTTCCCATTCCTCCTCAGGGTTAGATAAGCCTCCTCGCAGTACTGACGGAAACTACATGAAGAACAGGAAAAACAAGTACACAGGTATTTATTTGGTCAAAGAGGCAACAGCATCTTGACAGTGGAACGGTTACTACAGAAATACAAAAAGAAAAATTATTAGTGTTCAGGGAATGTACAGAACGACCGCAGTATGTTTATTTTATTTTTGTGATTCTGAAATCCAGAAACTAATTTACTGCTCACACAAAAAATAAAAATAAAATGTTCTCTGTCAACAGATTATTATGATTACAGACAGGAAAGATTTGAAACTTGCATAAAAAAAAAAAAAAACCTAGAAAATAAATGAAAATGAAGTTATATTTAATAGACAGTGCATGTTTTTGTTCATGTATCAAAGCGTTCATCTCAGAGGCAGCAGGGTGTAAAAAGCTGCGGTTGTGTGCAGGAGCTGAAGTAGATCAGAGGTTTGGTGATTTACTACAAGTTCTGTTTATCTATGGAAACACGACTGAGCTTTTTACCCACAAGCTGTTCATAACAGACGACAAACATTTCCTGTTTGTCTACAATCAACCACACAGCGTCTCAAAGGATGCTGACCGAAACAAATAAATGATTAATATGAGCACTCTGGCTTTTTCCCTTAACAGCCATGGATTATTTATACTTTTATTCCTGAAGTTCAACAGATAATCAACACCTGCAGATGATAAATGGCCATCAGAACTTTCTTTCACATGCAGATTTGAAATGCAAAAAATAAAAACAAACAAAATACAAAAACTAACTAACTAAATAAATCTGTTTTTCCCCCTCTTCATAACTGGATTCTGGACGTTCTCACAGATAGGTCACAGGTGGAAAAGATGAGGAGAGACAGTCTCTGCTGAGCTCAGTGAGGACCCACAGTGAACCTCGAACTTTTCTCCCCGTACATGTGACTGGGCTTCTAATCAGGACATCATCATGACATTTACATGGTCCAACCATCCTGAGCCTCATCAGCTCAGGGGATGAGTCTTGACACAGGGACAGACTAGTTCATAAGATTACACCCCATAGTGAGGACAATGATCTGTCCCTAATGTTAACAGAACAAAATAACTCATTCTAAATTTCATGAGAAGAGCACCCCCTCATACGCTTCACCATCAGTGAGGAGGAGAGTAGACTGAAAACCATGGGCCTCCATATCTCCAAGAACCTTTGGTGAATAAACCGTGCAAAAACAATGAAAGATCTCAGCAGAGACTAAACCTCAGACTGTTGAAGAAGCCTGAGATCAGCCAGAGGACCCGCTCTCTCCAGTGGTTTCACTGGGATTATCGTATCGCAACATTTCCATGGAAGAGCAAAAATAGCTGCAATGAGTAATCAAATCTGTACAGAGGATCATCTCTTCTGATCCCCCCTTCAGGGACACTTTATACACCTCCATCCACCTGCAGAAGGAAAGCACAGAACATCCTCAACTCTCTTTAAATGGGTGGACACCTGAGACACTGCAGTCTTGTGGGCATCAGCTCTCACTCTGTACCCAACAGCTTAGATCGACTGGTGCAAGCAGGGCCACCTTAACCTGCTGGTAGGCCCCGGGGCTGAGCGCTCCTGTAGCCCCCCCACCCCCCACCTTATCATATGCACTGTATGTTTCTATGAGGAGTACCATTAGTAATGGACACCAACATCTCCAATTCAAAGGATCAAAGGTCTTGAGAAAGTGTATCCCATGACTGATAATAAATGATAAACTAAACAATTAACTTCTGAAACATTTAATTTTTATGTTTTAAACTTGTTTAGTTTTTTTTTAAATAAGTTATAATGAGCCCACATGATTTTTCTATTGTATTGGTGTAAAATATGCAATTACAGCTGATGTTAAGAGCTCACTAAAAGGTTTTAACAAGGTTTTAGAATAACCTCAGCCATCTTACTGCTCTTCTGACTTGTCTAAATGTTTTCCAGTGCATGGGTCTCTACTGTAGACTGCTGGTGGGAAGGTGAACTGCAAGTTCACCACTTCTCTCTACCACAGAGTATGTTCAGCTAAACAGAATCTGGGATAACACAAAGCCACTTTGTTCCTTTTACTAAATTTATTTCAGGCGCAACTTGACCATTCGTCTGGATTCTGAATGTGTGTAGATGATCGCAATGCAAAAACAAACAAACAACAAAAACAACTCATTTCCACAGATGGAAAGTTTTGTTTTATCTTTCATTTAGGTAAATATAGGTTTTGGTTTTATCTAGCTTTACTTAAAAGTCCTGCAGTAAAACATCACTTTTATTGTGTTGTTTTCTTTGACCCAAGACAGAGTTGTTGTTTTAAAAGCCTTCAGGCTGTTCTGCTGCAGTTCAACCATTTTTAAAACTAAGCAACCTCATGCTGTTGAAGCTTTGCTTCATATCTGGGGAGTTTTAATAATGAATGAAAGCTTGGAAATCAACACCGTCCAGATTTTACTGATAATGCTCCCCAGATAGAGAGCAATCCACATCGGGATTTTGCAGTTTACAAAAACAAAAATAACTGATTCTGAGGTCAGTTTCACCAGACTCAAACTGACCGTTCAAAAGTGTGTGCGAGAGTGTGTGTGTGTGCTAATGTTACATTGTCATCTCACTGAATTTGAAGTATTTTCTGTGTTCAATTGTGTGTGTGTGTATATACATATATACGTTAGGAGTTGAACGACTACATAATTTTTAAACTCGACATTAACATAATAAAACTTGAGTAGAACTCGAGTAGTTGATGACGTCATAGGCTCTAAAGATGCAAAAATAAATAAATCAGCAAAAAAACGTAATTTATTATTTACACAAAAAAAAAAAGACCAACAAAATGGAGTGCATATTTTGCTCTTACCATTTATCATACTGCAAATAAGTCACAGGAAAACCAAAACTATTAGTTATTATTATTAAGCTACAAAAGTGAAAGGAACGTGCGGCACGTAAAAAACATAACTAAAAACAGTGGGGCAGACAATGACCCCGCACCACCGCCCGCAGTGGTGCGCATTAGGTTTAGTTTTAGAGATTAATATGTTTATAGATTTTTTTTATAGGTTTAGAGATGAATATTTTTTGCTTTTATTTTGTGAAACAAGGTCAGAGAAGATGGTTCTGGTTCGGTCATTGGACCCGGTGTTACACCATAGTCTGTGGCCTTCAACAGTGCATGCAACACCGCCCCCTACGGTTACAATATACGGTGGTCACAGAATATGGTGTAACACCGGTTTGCAACAGCTCCAAACAGTCAGGAAGTTGATTCATTTTCTGTTTCCTTACGGTAGTTGAACCAGAAGATTCATCTTTAGTGAAATATTTCCAGACTATTGATGCATTTCTACCTGTGTGACAAGACTGGACCTGCTCCGCTCCACCTGTCTGCTTGGAGGAATCCATTTTGTAACCCGCGCCCGGTGCGGATCATGTGACACGTGACGCAATGACGTAACGGCGACGTAATGACGTCACCACGAATACTCGACATGAAATTCAAAAACTCGAGAGAGATCCTAGGAATCCATGAGTAGATTACTCGAGTAGTCTTGTTAAAGTCCTATATATATATATATATATATATATATATATATATATATATATATATATATATATATACACACACATCCTGTGAACCACTGACAGCTTGTTTTGTCTTTTCTCGTTGTATCCTTAGATCATTGTGACGCTCTCACACTTTCTGTATCGGCTCTCTCCATCTTTGTCACTCTGTCTCAACAGTGTCCCATTGACTGAGCACATGAGCAAGGCATTTTCACACGTTTCTAAACCTTAGTTTTGGTTGTCAGGCCATTAAAAAAAGTACATTATTGTTTGATATTACAAACACTTTAATTATTCTGTTTATTTTCTGTTTATGCGTAGTATTTTTTTCGCCAACACTCACGCTGACAACAAGTGGTCACATTTGCGTTCATACATTATACTTTAGGCTGTACTATCGATGGTACTTTGTACTCAAAATAAAACCAGTCAGTCAGTTTGTGATTGAGTGACCAGGTAACTATGCAATGACGTGTAGCTCAGACAACTTTAAAAACACACTGCTTATTTCTGCAAAACTCTGATCTAGGTCCTACATAATCATTTCAATTACATCACCTCAGTCCACTTTGTGTCCACTCTGGCAGCTCCCCCAGTATTTACAATTTAATCTACAGAAGTACACTTTAGAAATGAATAAATGCAGATTTGGAACATCCATCAATCTGTTATCTTTACCCACTTCTTGGTCTGGGTCACAGGTATCGCTGGGGCCTTTATCCAGCAGTCACTGTGTCAGAGGAGGGGGACACCCTGGACAGGTCTCCAGTCCATCACAAGGACACATAGACAAACAACCACTCACACAAGTATCTTTGGTGGTGTTTTTAGACTTATCCATTTGGGACTGTAGCCCCAATCTTTTCTGTGTCAAAGAAGCTCTTGTGCAGGAGTCACTATCTGACTCTGAAACACATCTGTAGCACAACAGGACTTAGATCATGTTCAAGACCTTTAGGTTTATTTGATAATAAAGTTGACCGATTGTTGAGCAGAAGGCAGAATAAATTAATGCTGGTTAAAGCTGGTGTTGATCAAAAACTTCTGACTACCGTTTAAAAAGATTCGGTTCCAGCAGGGTGAGGGTTCAGAGCAGTGAATAAAATAAAATAATTAAAAAATAACAAACCTGCCAAATTTTTCAGTGTTCCCTGTCTTGCCCTGCTGGATGACGTGAATAAAGTCGTGTGTGAGGATGAATGGGACACGCTCCCTTTTGATGCCAAACTTGGACTTGAAGTTTCCCAGGATATGACCAAAGTCTATATGAAAAAGCTGAAAAAAGACAAGCCACTCAGTGAATCGTGAACAGCAGAGGTCAGATGGAGTCTGGAGCAGCAGGGTAACATTGGTCCCACCTGTCCGGTGCTGCGGACCATGATGTTGTCACTGTGGCGATCTCCGATGCCCAGGACGTACGTAGCTACACAGTAGCCTGCGCATGACAGAGTGAACTCCTCGATGGCCCGATCAAGAGCATCACTGTAAGTCCACATAACACACAAGGCACAAATATAAAATAAAATGTCTTCAAAGGTTTGTAAAAGGTTCGTTGACCCCCTTCTTACCCAGAGTTCCTCTCTTTGAGCCAGTTGAGCAAGGCGTCCTTGTTGAATGCTGCAGCGGCTGCAACGTTGCTGCTGGTCAACTGGATGTTTGCAATTGTGTCAGCTGACGAGACCACCTCGATCAGTCCTGCTCGATCCCCTGTTGCTAAGCAACCATACGGTACGATTCTGTAAGAGAAAAGAAAACGAACGCTGAACGACGGCAGCAGTAAATAAACTTGATAATAAAAATATCTAAGGTGTGTGAACGAGAAGCAATTCCTTTTGTTCAGGTGGTGGTTGTGTCGTCATGTAGCCTGCAGCGGTGCTTTGTCTTTTACAGCAGCGGAGACCAGCTTTGTTTGCATCACAAACTGGTTTCAACCGCCCCAGAGACTAGTGGGAAAAATAATCTGTAAAAGCAAAGTTTTTTTCTCTTTGACTCATTTATGGCAGGGTTAGCTTGAAGGTTTGTTAGCATGCAGGGCAGCCTTCCCCTGCTGGGAACAGAAATATAACCAGTCCAGTGATGTGGAACAATTGATTATGAGGCTGTTTATTCCTGCTACTTCAGTGTGTTTGTAACTATTTCACTACATTTAATGCTAAATATAGGTGCAAGCAGCTTGAACTACTGAACTGACCTGACCCCACACAAGTTGCAGAGCTTTAGCCCAGACGTCCCGGACAAACAATTAAAATTCTGTTCAGCTGCCGGCTAATTAATCAGCCTTGGAAAGATACAGATTTTGTGAGTTTGTTTTGATTATTTTGGCTAAAGGTGTTCAGAATCAATATTCATTGATAATCAAGGCTGGCCACAAGGAGGTTCTGGAGGATTCCCGAACAACTGGTCTGTTCCAGGCTGAACCGGCATGTTTTTTTTTTTTTTTTTACGCAGCTATGTCCTTGCGCAACAGGTCTCATGGCCGCAGGTGTCAGTCAAACGTTACATGTGATGCGAGCAGCCCCTCACAATAAAAATTAAAAAAAGAAAAGAAAGGAGAGCAGGTATCAAACATGCTAAAAAGAAAGGAGAAAGATGAGTGGAGCAGAAAAACCAAGGACAAAGAAAAAGAAAAAGTTAGTGCAAGATGCAACCAAATGCGCTAAAATAGTAGACTTTTTTTTTTGGGGGGGGGGAGAAAGTGAGCGTGACTAAAGTCATCCAGGACAGTGATAACAGGACCGAGCAGCATGGAGACAGCAGGTTACCTACATGGACCTATCATCATCCCAGAGTTGACATTTAGTGTGTTTGAGTTTCTGGATGTGTTCAACACAGAACATTAATGGACGCCTGTTTTACACCATACGTGCATAAATCCTTAATCTGCTTTATCAAAGAAAATTAAAATCAATCCATACTGACATGTTTCTTTGTTGCAAAAGAAAACATGTTTCAGGAAAAAGTCCGTTTTCCTCTGTTTCTACACTCATATAGAGATTTTGACCAGTTCAAGAAAAAATACCTGCAGTGAGTAATTCATTTACTCTGTATGTGTGTCTGTAGTGCTTTTATTATGTTGTATTTGTGTTAGAAACCTGTGAATTATTTGCAAAAGTGCTCTAAAATGTATCATTGTTGCTGTTATTGTTATTACTAGCTGAAAAGGCGTGTCATTTGAGGAGTTGATGCAGAGAGACAGGATGACAGTCGTAGGAGGAGGAAGGGACAGATGAGGACGGAGAGGAGAAGAAGGTGAAGATGGAAGTGGAGGAGGAGAGAGGCCCTGATGACTTTAGACAATGATACAGACAGATGTGCAGAGTCCAGTGTTCTGCTCAGAGCTTGTTAATGATGTAAGTTCTGACAGGTTCCCTTTGTTTGGGGCAGAGGTTATGATGTCGGAGGTCTGTATACCTTCAGAGGTGTTTTATGTTCCTTAATATTTACTTTGATGTTTACAATTTGAAAAAAATGTGTTTTTATGCTGAAAATAAAGTATTTGTGTTAAAATTATGGTTCCACGTGCATCCGTTGTGCGATCAGATGAAAGGCCTCTCCACAGCAAGCTCCCACACTGTATATCTATCCCAGCCTGTCCCTGATTACAGGCTCTACATGGGCGAGTTACTCTTTATATTAAAGTGTGTTCTGATTGTTTTAGATCTTGTTGGACCCAGTGTGGTCCATCTATGAAGTTCTGTCTCCCTCAGAGTACAACAGTCTCAGCAGTGTTGTGCCTCAACACCTAATTAAACGCAGAGCACTGTGGAATTTCATGGGTTAAACCTCCTGTCTTTGATCTGGCAGAGTTAGGTAATGAAACTCTACAGACGTGCGCCTCAAATGGCTCTGAAACAAGTTAACATGATGTAGTTCAGATGTGTGCACAGATTGTGCGTTTTACAAAAACATCAGCAGACCTGTTCATCACATCTGACTGACCCCCGTGCGACATGGCTGCCTAAATTGCATACCATATTTTTTGCTGTATAAGCCACACCTTTTTGCATAAATCAGCCAGTCCTGCGACTTATACAATGAAACGACTAATATATTTTTTCCTCATATTTATAATCCAATTTTTGGCTGAGATCTGACGATTTCATTCATTCTGACATGGAAAATATCAAATACTACCATTTTCAGCCACTAGAGGGCCATCGAGAAATATGGCAAGTCAAGTGTCTCATTAATAGGTAAAAGTGGCTATTAATGAACCACTTTGCTTGCCATACAAACCACCTTCATCTCGCTCTGGAACTCCTGGAGCAAACATCAGATCAGCTGCATTTCATCACACTGCCCAGGTGAAATGCATCTGATTTGACCATTACAGTGCATTTATTAAGGAAAAGTTAAACTGAGACACA